AAGTAGGAAGAATGTGATGACAACTCTGGGTCAATAACTTTAAAAACATGACCTTTAAATGAACAAAAACTTCCCCTGTTGTGAGAGGGGAACGAATTTAGTAAAAAGAACAAGGACAGAGATAATTGTACACACCTGATCCTGCAAAAGAAGAGACCGAACTTTCCAACAGGACTCCATGCAGGTTTAATTCCTCTCAAGTGTTGTACCCTCTGCTTCCTTCCTAGGCCCTCTTATGCCATGCTTTTGTTTTTATTTTGAGCCCAATTATAGCAACCATCCACACTTACTAACCATATCATTTTTGGCAAATAACATAAATTGTTTTGAGTTTAAACTTTTCACCATAAAATGTGAGTACTATTTACTTCCATAAGTTGTTGGACAGATCAAATATGATAATGTACTTAAAACAGTCACATGGTAGTATTCAGTAATATGTTGGATCCCTCCCTTTCCTTGATCATCATCTCTCTGTAGAAAATTGAAAGTGTGAGTCAATGCTGAGCCTGGAAAGGTAGATCACATCTGATTGCAAGTAAGAAAGTTAAACTATTCTTGCCATTTGTGAGGGAGGGTCCTAAGGCAAGAGCGATGGCTATCAAGAATAAATGGACTGCTTACATATGTCTGCTTCGATAAGTCCCAGGCTTCTATTAGAAAATCAAATCCTGCATTAATGGGTTTGCCCTCTTTCCAGGTCACATAGGGGAAGTATAGAATCTGGCCTGGAAGTTTCTCTATTCCTTTAATAATTGCAAATTTTTTCACTTATCTTTCAAAGACAACGCAAAATGCATTAAGGGAAGTCAGGCGAGTAGAAAATAAACTGTACTGCAGGATGCTTTCTCTTTATTGACAACTGAATGGAGATTGAAATAAAGCAGGGAGGTAGACAATTTAGTTAAATGATGAGTGTGATTAATGTTCTAAGCAATTTCTAACCAAGTCAAACCTTGTATTTTACTATTTTTTAACAGCCCCTATGGCCCTTGATCCAGTTAGTTTTGACAGGCTCTAACCAGAATGCTTAAGAATAAACAAAAAGCCACTTTCTAAGCTGGAAACAAAGGAGTTAGCTAAATAATAAGGTAAAACGAGATCTATAAAATGAGATCTTACAGTTATATTACTGAAAGGAGCTTCCAAAGACTCTTCTGTGTGTGATCCTGCCTCCCAATGGATCAAAAGTCCCAAATAGGCCCGGCCAGTGTGGCCCAGTGGTTGAGCATCAACCTATGAACCAGGAGGTCACAGTTGATTTCTGGTCCGGCCATAAGCTCCGGTTGTAGGTTCAATCCCCAGTGTGGGGCATGCAGGAGGCAGACAATCAATGATTCTCTCTCATCACTGATGTTTCTATCTCTCTCTCCCCCCCTTCTTCCCTCTCTCAAATCAATAAAAATATATATCTTTTAAAAAGAAGAAAAAGTCCTAAATAAACTAGTATCTAACCCGTTCACATAGCTAACACTTCATTGGTCACCCAGTCTAGTATCTCGTAATCCAAATAGCAGCAAATAAACAAAACAAAAAAAGTTTCATAATAATGGGCATTTACTTAAAGTAATATATTTGTAGCTCAGGTGGTTCTAAATTGTACATTTCAGGTTTAACCAACATCATTAGAACACTGAGGGAAGCTGCATCCGCATATTTTGATTACATGATTATTTCTTTGCCCATTCTTCTTTCTTTTCGTTCTGTACTAACCTCTTTCAGATATGGTCCAAAGTAGAATTTATCCTCCTCATATTTTGTCCACTGCTCTTCAGGCAAGATCTGCTGCCTCTTGGAAAGGCCCAGTGCTCTCTTAATGCTAAACACCCTGTCATTATACAGGTTCTCAGGAAACTTTCTTACAGCTTCTTTAAGAAAAGAATGCGTCTTCCACATGCATGGTATTATCTCACATCTACCCCAGTGTATTGGGCCCTGCAGCATTGTAATACCATTTTTGGACACTCTCCAGCCACCGGGCTGCTGCAATGGCTCACCATTTTGACCTGAGATTGAAGTGTTTCCAAATAATTTGTTTTGTTTTAATCCATATATTGTATTCACTTCAATTTATGTCAACGAATATTTATTGCTTATACCTTTGACCATGTGCAGACAAGAGCATTAGGTGCTGCATTGAGTTTATTCAGGTCAAGCTTAGTGCTAAGGAGGCCACATTTATAAAATCAAGCTCCCAAATGGTCTAGTTAATGTAGCTTTATTATCTATATTATATCACAGAGTGTTTTTCTAATCCTGGAACCACAAAATTAAAGACATCCATTCCTTGGAGAAAAGAAAGACCAAGCAAGAGATTATGGCTCCATTAGACAAAAGAAGGCACAAACCCTACAGAGTGAGCTAGTACCCACTAAGGGAAAGACACCAGTCATTCCATCAGGTTATTTCCTTCCACATCCCTGGTAGAGAAATGCTGATCACTCATTAGGTGCCTATAAACCTGAGTTTTTTAAAGCTTTAGTCAGATTAAAAATTCTTCTATTTTTTTAATATATTTTATTTATTTTTTACAGAGAGGAAGGGAGAGGGATAGAGAGTTGGAAACATCAATGAGAGAGAAACATCGATCAGCTGCCTCCTGCACACTGGGAATGTACCTGCAACCAAGGTACATACCCTTGACTGGAATCGAACATGGGACCCTTGAATCTGCAGGCCAACGCTCTATCCACTGAGCGAAACCGGTTAGGGCTCTTCTATTTTTTAAGACATGTTTTTATTGATTTCAGAGAGGAAGGGAGAGGGAGAGAGAGATAGAAACATCAATGATGAGAGAGAATCATTGATTGGCTGCCTCCTGCACGTCCCACACTGGCGATGGAGCCCCAACCAGGCATGGGGGAATTGAACCACGACCTCCTGGTTCATAGGTTGATGCTCAACCATTGAGCCACATCAGCCGGGCAAAAGTTCTTCCATTTACTACGACACTCAGACAGCTGCCCATGCACAGGACCAAGGCGCTTCATTAAAATGCAGTCACTATCCAATTGTCTTGTGCTTACTCTTTTGCTGACAGTGTATAAAGAGGCCTCATTACATCCTTCTGTGCAGCTTACCCTACTGATACCACATGTTTTTTTTAAATAAGTCTTACCTGATGTAAATAATATTTATTGGATGAATCATGGTTGCCCAAGAATAATAAAAGGGAAGGAGTGATGGAGATGCCAAAACAGTTGATAGACTGTGGTTGCCAAAGTTTGGAAAAACGTAATTCTTTTTCTGAAGATACCTAAAATTATCTTTTTTATCACTAATGTCTCTAAATTGTTTTTTGATATAATGTTACATTTTTGTTCCATTCAATGTAGTCTGAATTGTTGAGTTAGGGAACTGTTTGACTTACTTTGAAATTGAGGGTATGAAGGAAGAATCTTTAATAATTGCAAATTTTATGTACTCTGTTAGTAGTTACTGTAGTTTCATAGATGTTTTAACTGCTCAGATTTTAAAAGCAATTGGGACTTTTGGAAATATAGAGTGAAATTGATTTTAATGGATCAAATTACTCCAAATCTTTCTACAATTTTTACTCAGAAAGAACTCATAGAGCTATAAACTACTGAGCTTTACATTTTTTTTGAAATTTGTTCCATCAATTTTCTGAAGTAGATGCATATTTTGCATGAAAGCAAAACCTCTAAAAGAAGCCGAGTTGCTAGTCTTTTTTCTCTAACCATGTTTTAAATAGAAGTATATAATTAAAGATCATATTCTAATTTTTCATTTGTAATATTAGAAATGGAATTGAAGATTTTACTCTGGCTGCCAAGTCCTAGGCACATACTGATGCAGTCAGTCCTCATTATTTATGGATTCCATACTTGAAAATTCATCTACATGCTAAAAGTTTTGTAACTCCCAAATTAACATTTGCTGTGCTCTCACAGTCATTCGCAGACCTGCACAGAGCAGCAAGAAATTTAGTCATCCAATGGCCACATTCCCAGCTGAGGTGGAACAAGGAGACACTCTGCCTTCTTGTCTCAGCTCCTATTATAAACAAGTGTCCCTTTTGTGGTCTATTTAGTGCCACATTTTTCACATTTTGTGCTTTTTGTTGGTTATTTTTGCTGTTTAAAATAGCCCCCAAGTGAAGTAATAATGTTCTATCTAGTGTTCCTAAGTACAAGAAGGCTTGATGTGACATACAGAGGAAATATACATGTTAGATAAGCTTCCATCAGACATGAGTTTTAGTACTGGTGGCCATGAGTTCAGTGTTAATGAATCAACATTATACATTAAATAAGGTATCTTTAAACAGAAACACACATAAAAGAAGGTTATATATTCACCAATCACAACACTGATCAATGTTGTGACCAGAGGCCCACAGAGATCTCATCCTGCTTTCCCCTAGTTCAGCATTCATTAACTCAGTGTTTAAGGCAGCTTTAAAGAATACCACTTCTGTGAATAATGAGAATCTACTGTAAATACTGTAGTCAGAATTAGTCTACAGATGATCAGACAATGGGTATACCCTCAAGCTGCATGTCAGTATGATTCCACAGATGCCTAAAGTTGATCTTTTACCTCCTCCCACTTAAACAAGAGCTTAGCTCATTTTTTCTCCCACCCCACCTTATTTTTTAACCACTTGTTAACTTGGGGTCTCCTAATTAATATCATAGGCTCAAATCCCTCTAGAAATCTGAAGCCCTGCTTGGGATTTCTACAAATACCCAAGGATTGTATGTTTTCTTCATCACTCTGTCTCATTCTACCAGTTCTGATTATTTCATTCAGTCTATGGACTGCCTCACCATCCCATTTCCGTTAAAAACGATAATAAACACAAAAATCTCACACTAGCCACTGAAGTTTAGTGATATGGACTGAAGTTTTGGGGCTATGGAAACAGGACAGAATCATAGTTCAGGAAAATAAGCTATTTGACAGTGAACATTATGCATTTTATTCTTTGTGCCCTTCAGCCACACCATCTCTGAAGAATTTTCAGTGCTTAGTCCCCCTTCATCATATCTTGACCTCACACCACCATGTTCCTTAGAGAAGTAAAAAAAAAAAAAAGTAATGAGAATGTGATATAGAACTATAGTTACAGGAGGTTAAAAAAAAAGGCCAAGTTTAGGAGATGACATAAAGTAAAAATAAATTTTGGCAAAGGACTAAATAGATGGAATGAAGAACACAGATAATTAAATGTAACAGAAGATTTGAGGACTAAGAGAGACCACTGATGATTCCATCACGACCCAGAGGACTTCTTAATGTTAATTAGTTAAGAAGTCCTCCTCCAAAGTTCTAACAATGTAAATGGTGGTAGCAAGGATAAACTATAACTGAACTGCTGTGAACACATTGATTAGTCAGATTCTAATTCTCTGTTAGGGCCTCCATCAACCATTCCAGTAGTTAATTGCCCAAATTAGCTGTAAGCATTGAGCTCATTGATAAACAATTTAATGATAACACAGCATATAGAAACAACAACAAAAAAAACAGCTGAATATCCAAAGTGAGGTAGAGCTACCTTATAGAAATTACTTGAGTATTCAGTTGGTACAGTTCTCTCACTAGTTACTTAAGCCCCAGGCCTTCCTATGGAATTTCCACTCAACCCTTCTGATGAAATATGCTAATTGGAAACCTCAGGAATAAATCTAAATATCAAATGAAGTGCAGGTTGAAATATCTGTTCAATACATGGATACTCTACAGGTCAATGAGTGAAATCTCTTAGCCCACTAATCTCTTTCTCATTACTAGGAAAGACTTAAGCTTACTTATATCAATGCATTTCCACTGATGGCATGAACAGTGCCAATAAGGCCAATGAGATTATATGTAGATTATCTACAGTATTAATTACATTTCCATTCATTCAATATGAATCCATGTACACACATTTAGACAAAGAGTATAGTTATGGAACCCTTGACTATGGAACCCTTGGTGAATGGGTACTTCTAAATCACTTACTTGCCTGACTCCTGAAACAAAAAATATTAATGTCTCGTTTATCATTATAAATAACAATTATTAAAGCCTGAAATACCTGAAAACCCTTTAAACTAATATTTTTATTATTGGAATTTACTTTATCGTAAAGGTACATAAAGATTTTACTATAAGGATATTCATATACAATTGGTTTCATAAATGATTACTTACATAATATATACTCAAAAGTTATTAAAATAAATATGCAGCATTTACAATATTTTTCCAAAAATAAAAAAATGACAGTGAATATGTCACACTTTTAAGAATGAAAAATATAAATGTTACTATAAAAATATTAATTGTGATATTGTGCAATGATACAATGGTGACCTTAAGACCTACTGATGAGTGTAGAGCTGTTTGCTCTAACACACACATACAAAAAAGCAGGCCCCATTGTTCTTTTCCCGTCTTGTGCCTACCTTTTGAAATGTTGCTGTCCTCCATTGCTGTATGGCTGTCTGCTCTTTCTTCTCATTATTGACTGCACCTGTCCTTAGCAGCCCTCCTCCATTTTCATTCTCTTAGAGTCATGAGATTGAATAGGACGTTAGTGACCATTAAAACCAAATGCCTTCAAATGCTTAAGTCCACTCACTGCCAACTCTGCCAAATGCCATCCAGCTAAATCTTGTACCTATCCACTTATGACAAGTTGCTTCTTCCTGTTACTGCCTATGGCTCCTTTCAATTTTATGAAGTTCTTATCTATGTTCCCCTTTTGATTTTAGTGATAGCCCCTGAGGCCATTCCAATCTAAACTCCTTTCCAGTTACAGTTCTTTAAATACTTGAAAATAACTATTATGATATCTAAAGTCTTCTCTTTTCCTTCATTTTTCATTCATTCAATGAGTCATCATTTACTCCTTACTTTGTCCTGGGCACTGCTCTAGACACTGGGAATATGATCCCTGTCCTCATTAAAGTCACATTAAATGAGAAAGAGAGAACTCAAAGTAGCACTTTCCTGTGGAGTATATACATAACAGTGTGCCTAGATGAAATTCAGGGGACAATAAAAAGAGATGAAAAGCTTTCTGGGTAATGAAAGTCAAAATTAGAAAGTCTGTGCTGCAAACATCAGAGACTACAGTTCATGTGTTTCCTCCTCATTGGAGAGCCCAGCGGATCTCAAAGTGTGGTTCCTGGACCGGCAACATCAGCAAACTCTGAGAGCTTGTTAGAAATGCACATTCTCGAGCCCCACCTTAGATCTATTGAATCAGAATCTCTGAGGGTGGAGTCCAGCAACATGTGTTTAACAAGCTTTCCAGGTAATTCTGGCACATGTGATTCAAATTTGGAGACTAATCCCTCCTGGTTCTTAAACCAGAAGCAGAGGTATCTGGTTTACCTGGAAGCTATTAAGAAATTCAGATTCTTGGGCCCCGCCCCAGACCCATGGAATCAGAATATTCATTTTAACAAGATCCTTAGATGATCGTCTGCACCTTAAAGTTTTAGAAACACAGGGCTTGCCATTCTGCCATGGTTTTCAGCTTTGGGTAACCTAGTGAAAGCACCTGGGGATATTTAAAAGACTACCTCCAAAGATTCTGAGCTTACTGGTCTGGGCTGTTGTCTGGACTCCAGGGATTTTTTCAAAGCTCACCAGGTGAGTCTAATGGGCAGGCAAGGTTGAGAACCACCATTTTAAGCGCTCAGAGTTTACTCACTTTCATTTCTAACAGGCCTCTTCATATGATTTCCAACCTTGCAGGAAATCTTAATCTTCAGCTACATTAATAGAAGAAGACCATCCCAGGTAAGAGAGGTCATTATTTCACTTTCTTGTAAAATGACGAGATCACGCTCAAAACACCACCTTCAGCTCTGGGCTGCCTTCTGGAGAAGAATGTAGAAAAACTAGAGCATGTTTAGAGAGACTGGGATTCAGGGAAGCAATGCAAATCATTCCTGTTAGAAATGGTTACAGGAATTTGTAATGTTTAGGCAGCCAGAATGATCTTTTAAAACATAAATCAGATTTTATCACTGTGATGCCTGTCACTTGCATTTGGAAAGAAATCTAAGTCTTTTACCAAGTCCCCACATGATCTGGTGCTGCATACATCTCCCACCTCAACTCCTATCCTTTGCTCCTCTCATTCCTCACCCTCTCCAGCCACCATTGCCCCTTTGTGTTCTCTGATCACTGAGAGTTTTCTTATTAGAGTGAATTCACCCTCTATTCTTTCTGCCTGTAGTGCTTTTCCCTTGGCTCTTTTCCATGGGTGAAGCTTCAACTCTCATGTCTCAACTCAGATAAGGTGCCTTCCCTATCCAAGTACCTTTCTGGAACAAAAGCCTACAGTACTTAGTAGGTATCTTCCTGATACCTACTGTAATTTGTAATTATCTTCTTCACTTGTCTAGTTTTTAAAGAAATTCAGATTCTTGGGCCCTGCAAGATTCTTATCTTCCCTATAACGTAAACTAATAAAAATATATGCTACTAAAGTGAAGAGAGTTGAGTACTATGTAGAGAAAATAAAGTGAATTGCTCTTCCAGCACCAAGTATTTCTCAATAGCATTTTTCTGAAAAAAAAATTTTCCTTCAGGCTCATCTATATACCAACAAGTTGACAGATACATTACACTTCATCAGTTACATATATTTCTGATGTGATATTATTTATTTCCTGTTTATATGTATCATTTGAGAAATGATTATTTAAGAAGTTTGATGGTAAATATTTAAAATATTAAACCAGAAAGTCTCTATTTTCCCTATATAAATACTTGTTTATTCAATACATAAAATTTTTGTTGATGTCAAGGAACTAAAAAGTAATATATTATTGTCTATAATGTAGACATTAAAAACTACCAAACATAGCACTCTTCTCTGAATCATTTAAGAATTTATGCAGTTCTGATATAATCAAAAGTATTTTTTTAAAATCCTAAAACAATTGTGGCACAACTCACTTCAAAATAGCATGTATTCTTACAGCTCTAAATTATAATATGAAGATGCAAACTGTATTCTTTTCAAACCAGACATGGGAGGGTGGATGATTGGAAAGCTCCAAGTGTTCTAGCAATTACCTGTTATTCTCAGAACAAAGGACAGTAATAAAAGGTACATAACAGGTTTCTTTCTCCTTTTCCATTTAAAATGTCAGATTACTTTATTTTTTAATCATCCTTATTAGAAACATTCTTTTAAGGGTAACAAAAAAAAGAAAGGAAAGAAAATTCTTCTTTCAAGCTCCATTTTATTGAGTTATTTTTAAGAAACAGAAGAAAAAGATTGACTTGAGGACTTACTCATAATAAGTCTATTCTGGCAGAAACCCAAACAGAAACTAGAAGTTTCACATTGGGAAATGGGATTTGATTGACATCTTGCTTGACATCAGTCTTGACAATTTAAGGACATCAGTGAGTTAACATGGAGTGCCATGCAAAGAAGTATAGAAAAATCAAAGGACATATCAAGATTTGGGCAGTGAATTCAATGATATGCTAAATTTTGAATTGTCTTTTTCTCAAAGATTTAGCTCTAGCATGCAACCAGCTTCATAATTTCTTTATTGACTAATTTGCTGAATTATTCAGTATTGACCAGCTCCAGGATCCATGGCTGGAACTGCATTCCTGGAGTCACCAGGTTATTAGTAACGCAGGTGCACACAGTGTTATTTTTTCAAAGTCAGTGAGCTCTTGCAGGCAACCCTGGGGGGCAATTAGAATTTTGGCAGCTGGGAAGTCAAAATGACCAAAAGCACCTGTAACCAAAATAGCTCTACCTAGGAATTATTATTCAAGCCAATACTGAGTGTGTGTAATTTCTTCTGTGAAAAGAGATGGGAGAAACTAAAATTAAATTATTGGTCAGACAACATTGCTTTATAAAAAAAATGCCATTTGGGGAAAAAAATCAAGCCAAGAAATTAAATTAAAAGTGTAAGATATCCTGATTAGAAGAAAATACTAGTTATAATGCTACAGAAGTCCTTTAGAAGCCAGTGTCATTCAACTTTTTTATTAAAAGTTTGGAGTGAAGGTTTTAATATTAATCAAATTTATAAATCATTAGGAGAATTACAATGTTTTTGAAAATTGGGATTAAAATAAAATATGAGCCTGAGAAGTTGGGAAAGTGAGTTAAAAACAATAAAAATAGTTCATTCAATAAAGGAAAAATGTGAAGTGGCTCACATAGAAAACAATAAGTACTGTAAAACGCTAATGAGAACAGAACACCAAAGAGCATGAAAAGAAATGAAAGGTGTCAATAATGTGGTACTAATACAAAAATTTTATAATACATTTTATTCATTAAATACAGTATTTAACACAATTGAGTGAATTTCATTTTATTGTTTTCATTTAGTATCAAATGAAGTTCATTCTAGCAGTATTATGTAATAAAAGAGACAAACTATATCATTCAGAAGAGAAGAATAAATAAAAGGTTAAGAAAGAAATCCCTTCACTGCAAAAGTTACAGGGAAACAAAAGAGGGCAAAGTAAAAATGATGTAATGTGGGAAAGCACGGGACTTGGTTAGAAAGTCTGTAAGGAGGGTTCTCCAAAAGTTCAGGGGCCTCTAGGGGGACCTTGCCGAAGGTGGCAGCCCCTGCCTTGATTTTTCCAAACAAGTCTGAGCCCCCAGGGGTTTTACTGGAATCTCTATGTTTAGTCTTTAGACACAACCTTATAGAAGCATGTGCTTTCTCAAGGATACTTACCCTGCTGATAGTATCTAATAGTTAATTTTAGTTCAAGCTGTTGTTATAATAAAAGCCTAAGAAAGCAGGCTAATGAGGCTGTTTCGTTGCTATAGCCAAGCAACCCCTTAGCCCTCTCTTTCACAGAAACATGTGTCAGAGTAATCCATTCATCTGTTGCTCAGGGCTTGCTGTTCAGTCCTAGCAATGGAACTCTTGTATAATGTCTACATATATAAAATCCTAATATGCAAATAGACCGAACGGCAGAACAACTGAACAACCGGTCACCAGGGGGTGCTGCAGAACATGACAGGCATTAGAGCACAGAACATGGTGGGCATCAGCCACTGCAGGATGGTGGAGCAGGTGAGTGGGGGCTCCAGACCAAGGCAGGGTGCCAGTCACTATATTGGGGTGAGCCTCTGGTGGTTACTGAAAATTCTTTGCTCCTGCACACTGCAGTCCTGCCTGGCGCTCACACCACTGCAGTCCTGCCTGGTGCTCACACCTGCTGCTGGCGCCAGGCACTGGCCCCGATCGCTCGGCACTGTCAGTGGATGTGAGAGGCAGCTGCTGGCCTTGATCGCCCCTGAGGGCTTCTCCACCTCTCCCGGCTCCTGAGAGGTGATTGGGGCAGCAGCCGATGCTCGCACCCGCTGCAGGTACCAGCCCCAATTGCTCTGCGCCGTCAGTGGGTGCGAACGGGCCAGCACCATCAGTGTGTGGGAGCAGTGGTGGCAAGAGCAGGGCTGCCATTCCTGGGGACTGGGGCCACAGCAGGAGGGGCTGGGTGGGGGCATGGAGGATGGGCCAAGATCCACCCCTGTGCCCACAGCAGCCTCAGGGCCCACAGTTCCTTTCAAGGTGCACGAATTCATGCACTGGGCCCCTAGTATAAATGGAAAGTATGAGGTGTAATGGTTGAGACTTCAGAGTCATAGACCTGGGTTTAAATCCTACTTCTTCAACTTTCTTCTGTCCACACACAAAAAAAAAAAAAGACTTAATAAGGTATCTCACCTTCTAAATTTCCTCATATGCATAATTCAGAAAATAATGATATCTAGGATTATAGTTTTAGGCAAATTTACTAAAGAAAGGTATGGCTTTTCTAATTCACTGGACTTCTTCATGCCTAAAGAAGAATGATACATACAGGTAGGTGTGCATATAAAATCAATCATGGCCCACACCCAGCAGTCTTTCATGAATCCTCAATCCTATCATGGAGACATGGACTATCTGAAGTGTCAGAGGAAGGAAAACCTGGCTCTGTGTTATTAAAAATAGATCATGTAGTAATATAAATGATGTTAAAAACAAAAATATTTATATAAGAAAAAAGAAAACAATCCAAACTTCATCTGCAAATAAATGAAATTGATTCTTCAAGTCATATATTTTTACATACAATGTGAGAATTTGGGGCAGGATACAGCAAACATCTTGATATCAGGCAAGGGAATGTTGAAGGGATTTTCCCTAGGAAGTTTAATAGAAATAAATCCAAACTTAAGCCTATTAAGTCCAACACTAAATTCTTGCCTTTCCCTCCAGACAAGGTTTAGCTTTATGGGAGCCCTCTGCTCCCATTAAAGAAATGGCTAGCCGCAAAGCACCAACTTGCCCTCATATACTCCAAGATAACTCACCTTCGCCATTCCTCAATGGCTCAGGTAAGAGCTCTCTCCTTCCCTCCCTAGGACTCCCATAAGACGACCTGATGACTCCCCTGCCAACCTGCCTCCTTCCCAAGGTCCCTTCTTTTTCTTTGAAATGGTCCTCATTAATGAACTTGTTCCCTATTGCAACAGACTGAATAAAATCATCTCCTTAATTGTCTGTTGCATTTTGTCTTTCACACACCAAAAACCCGTTTTAACGCTTAGCTCAGTAGATGGTAATCCATCTAGATGGTGGCTCAGGCCAAAAGCCTTCGAGTGACCTTTATCTCTTCTCCTCCCAAATATCCCCATCTGATCTATCAAGAAAACCTTTTGATTTAAATGTCAAAATATATCCAGAATCTAACCACTTCTAAGCCAATGCTACTATCATTGGTCTGAGCCACTGTAATCTCTTACATAGATTATTAATATAACCATCCCACTGGACTCTCAGTTTCCACCCTTGCCTGGCTGTAGTATATTCTCAACAAGCA